ACTGAGCCTTATTTCTCCTGTGTCCTTCACTCTGCCAAGGTCAAACCAAGGAGGAGCTAAAGTGTGTCTCTGGTCCGAGCGCTGAGGTGTTAATGGAAAAACCTGCGACCTCAATTAACATAATCAATTAAACACTCCAGTGCTCAGATCATACAGGAAGAGAACGGCAGTTGGCCGAGTTTTCCTTTGAACTGGAGAACGGTGTGGCATCGCTCCCAGACCTTTGACTGTCAAAAGAACAAGACGGTCACGGAGAACGTCGGCACTCCTGAGTGAAAGGAATCAACGTTTGAAACACATCATCAGCGGAAATGAAAAATAAACTCAATCTGAAAATATTTGATAATAAAAAGCTGACGGTAAACAGTACCTGCAGCTCAGATCCATATTTACTTGGACTTTTATTTAAATAATACCATTATTGGTCCATCCGTTCCTGATTTTCACAATGTATTCTGTCATTTTACCCAACAATTGCGTTAAAAAAACCCTTATGGAAATATACAGCGTGTCCACAGAGCCAACATCAGGTCATTACTTTGACAAATTCAGTCATAAGTTAAACCCTGGGGTGTCCATGTTTTTCCGCAGAGGCCAATTTTGAGAACCACACGCTGCAAAGGAAATAATTGCCTATAAAATACAGTGTTTCTTAATATTATTACTCGGTTTATTTAAAGCATTGAAGCTTTTACTGGAATGGCAACGTAATAAACACAGCCGTTTTTTTATTTATTTTATTTAAAGAAACGTTAGAGTACTGTGAGAGAATGATGGTGGTGATGGAGGGTAAAGATACTGCAGAAAAGCATGGGAACGACTGCAAATTATAAATTAATTGTTTAAATATTAAATGTCTGATCCTGGGGGTGGGGCATAAGAAGCAGATGACATTTTTATTAACTCAATAATTTGAACTTTTTTTACCTTGAGGCCCAATTTTTATCGTACAAAGTGACTTGGAGCCCAATAAATTATACTCAAACTCAAACCCATTTTTTTCATACTTATTGCTACATATTGCTACATCTATGGTTAAGAATCGGTTCTGCAGGAGAACTTTAACAAAGGTTTCTCACATGGAGAGCATTTCAGAAGTGAGTGTGAACTTGGCACAATTTCTCCAGCGATGTGTCGGAAATTTGGATCATTGTAATCAGTTGAAAATGTCTGTAAACAAAGGAGTCATTCATCCACGAGGGGCTGGACCCTGAGTTTATCCCACCTGTTCCTCAATCATGATGTCATGGCGGAGTGGAAAAAGTGACTCTCGCTTCAATCCCTTTCTGTGTGTGTGTGTGTGTGTTGCTATGACATGTTGTCAGTTCCTGCTAATACTCTGGATGTTTGTGGCTCAATTTTGACCAAGAATGGCTGCTCCGACACACCCTGCCCTCCCCCTCCGATTATAAATTCACAATTACTTTTTCACCAAGACTTTCTGCGTACAGTGTGACATCTGCTCCGGCCATTGTTCCGTGCGCAGCTGTCTGCTGGAAGCTAGGTTCTAAAGTGGAAACACATTGTGCAGGAGGGCCACAGGAATAAGATTTAAAGATCTTCATACGCGGCGGTGTTAGAAGCACAGCAGCCCCATCCAGCAGCTCTCCACATGGACGTGTCAGTCTGCGCAGTTTGCATGCAAACAAGCTCTATATTGAGGATGGGCTCCACTGGTGAAAGAGGCCACTGTTTTCAGTTAAATAAAGTCCTAGACAGCTTGTACTTTTCCCCACTTTTTCCAGTGGCTGCTACAAATAGAGGTCCCCTGCACAATTTCAAACTCTGTGTGATATAATAACAGAAGAATGTGGGTTATTTATTCAAAGAGAGCATTCATCACACAGGAGAATTTATTTATTTATTTATTTATTTTTTACCGGGTCAGTATTTCCATGCAGTGGTCCCTGATTCAAATGCATGGCGGTGACTCACCAGGTGCTCCACAGTCGTGGACTGTACCTGCTGAATGAGCCCAGTGACCCGGCTTTACAGTACAGCTCTCCACCGAGGTGGAGAAATCAGACTGACAGGAAAGGCAGATGGTAATGAAAGCAAGGAGACGCATGTGTGTGTGTGTGTGTGTGTGTGTGTGTGTGTGGAGAAGGGCACGACTGGTGTTGTTTGATCCTGCTGACCTCACTCACTGAGCTGCTGTGTCTCTGGACAGCAGATGTTCACTGGGGGCCTACTATGTGTGCGTGTTCATTTCATTTCATTTCATGTTCAGGGACATGAGGCCTAAGTATCCAGCCAGGGTCAGCCTGGGTCTGGGGCTCTTCATTTAGTAACTTGCCAGGAGACGTTGGAAGGCTGAAAGAATGTGTGAACACAGCCCAGATTGTGATTTAAAGGCTGCCCATGGTTTTGCCGCCGCCGCCTAAATACTATTTATACCGGTAGCGGTCCTGTCGGGGTAGCTGGGAAAAGGGCAGATTTTTTTTTTTTTTTTTAAATCTCAAACCACAGGAAAAACACAAGACTGCTGGGAGCAGAGGTTGCTAATTCTTTTTTAAGTATTGACAAAAATTCACGCATGAGAGAAAGTTTTCACTGTAGTTTCAGACTGTGACTAACAATAGATTTTTTTCTTCTGCTTCTTCTCTGCCTTGTTTCCCCAACAGGGTTTGGGAGTTACAATATGTGTTTCTTTGTTTTTACTGTAGGCTGTGACCTGTTCACACTGTACTGTAGACACTACTATTGTTGACTTATTATTCAAACGTTTATAAAACTCAGGAAGAGAAACAAAAGGTCTTCTATCACCACTTTTGAACAAAACAAAAAGCCACAAACATGTGTATTTTATATATATATATATATATATATTTGAATATGTATATCCCTGCTGACATGTGGAAACTATTTTCTTTGTGCTATTAAATGTTCTATGCAGTAAAACCGGGTTTACTATAAACAGAGCTCCTTTTCAATGACTAAGAATGATGTGTAAACACTGCATGTTGCTTTACCAGTGTTATTAACTTCTCTCATCTCCACCTTAAAACCTATTGGTGCTAGAATAGAATGTTGCTTTTAAGGTCTGTCGGAATTAGTTGTACAACGTGCTGTTATTGTATTCAAAACACGTTATAATAAAGTGATGTTTTTAAACAAAACTATCGCTAAAATATTACACAATACTATTTATTCCAATTCTTAATATTTTAAAAAATATTTGTCAATTTAATTAATTGCCGACACATACAGTTTTTGCCTTTTTGCTGCCTTTTTTGTTGCCTGTTCCAAGGCCAAAGTTAAATTATGGTGGAACAACTGTACAGCTACGGTATCTTTGGCTGCTTAAGCTGCATTTTTCAGTTTCGTAGTCCAGTGTTTACTTACTTCTTATTTAACAATAGTTATTTATTAGGTGATCCTACAATCTTACAGTTGTTTATTTTGATAACTTAACGCTATTTCGAGATTTTTTTTGCAATTTATCGTCAAAGCTAAATGCGAAACAGTTTTTTTTGTAGAAAATGTTGTTGGAAATATTTAGCAGTCGTATTTCTAGTTTTTTGCTTTAAATTTAGTTATCTACATTTACTTATCATCGCACTTAAGTAATACTATTCATAAATATCAGAGGAGGAGAGTTTATTGGAACGTTTTTATGTTACGCTTGTTTAGAATTAGCTAAAATGAAACACTAATCCTTTTACCTTCGTAACATACCTATACAACAAGCGGTACGTGAAGGCAACACGGGTTCACGCCTATTGTAAGTCTTGATTGGCTACCGATTAACAGCCGACGCCTCTGATTGGTTGAGACGCATCCACTGAATCCCCTCCTCTACCTTTGTCAATTTCATGCGCTCTGGTTGAAACGCCTGCTTGTTGTCTCCTCAGGCTCAGAGGAAGGAGAAGTTGCGTGTCCCGCTCTGACGAAACGTAAGAAGAAACAAGGAGAGTCGTTTGGAAGGTTAACTTCCTTTCATGTCCCAAGGTGGAGCTGAATGGAAAGATAGTAGAGGTCGTGAAAGGCGAACCGGGGAAACCATCCATCACCTTGTGAGAACCGCGCCGTGCGAGGGGCGACGCTACTCCTGCTCCTTCTTCCTGAACCAACGTGCTGGACGGTGTGTGGAGCAAACAAGGGAATGACATAAACACAGCCAGAGATGGTTCACTGTCCGCGGGAGCTTTCGCAGACTCTTCTCACGTTGCTGCTGCCGCTGCTACTGTTGTGAACTTTCTGCCCTAACATTACCCGCGGGAGACAGAGACGGACAGGGAGGATTAAAGAAAGTCTCTCTTCGTCGTCCTCTTTTATTCTTGTCAGCAAAAAGGATTAATTATGCCGGACCAAATCACAGTCTCGGAGTTTGTGGCAGAGACAAATGAAGACTATAAATCACCAACTGCCTCTAACTTCACCACCAGGATGTCCCACTGCAGGAATACAGTGGCTGCTCTGGAGGAGGTGAGTACATATGGCACACAGTCTCCACGGATCTTGGCTCGGTCTCATTTGATAAACATGTTTGATCGTGAACATTCAGTGAAATCCTATCCAAATAAAAACCAACCCTCATTTGGAAAATGAGTGATCAGAACGGATAGGATTAGAAATACAGAGGCAGCTGATGTTGGTGGTGATGTTGGACAAAGACTGTAAGTGATGAAGCTCCAAGGCAGGACAAAAAACAAAAAAAAAAACAAACAACAAAAACCTCAGAGGTCATTTGTTTGAAAAGCTCGATAGACTTTAAGATGATTTTGCAACAGTAGAGGATGTGAAGGCAGATGAAGGCAGATGATCTGTTGTGATACCTTCTAATGAGCCATTATATCCACAGCCACAGTCAGTGCAATAAAAAAATAAACTATCCTCACTCATACTTCCTCTTATCTTTAACACTGTCTTCAGTGTCCCATTAAGTCATCATTTATCAAGGCTTTTTATTGCTGTGCATACTAAAGTGTGCCATTATACGGCAATGTACATTTAAAGTCGAATTGGGTTCTTGTCCCCTGAAGCTGCAGTCAGTCAGATCAGGGATGGTGGACCGTAATCGAGCTACAGATCGAGACTAGCAGTTTGATTAAGTTAGACCTACAACAAGGACAAACTAAAGGTCCATTTCCACTGCAGGAACTAGTAAAACTACAGACATGGTAGACATGTTCCGGTTGGACTCAGCAAAAAAAAGACTTGAAAAGTCGGACACTGTTGAGGTGGATAGCCAGAGAACCTGCTGGACTTACCCTAGTCCAGTGTTTGCCAACTGTTTTTGTGTCACGGCACATATTTTTTTAATTAAAAAAAACCCATCTGAGAGATGGCAACACCACATTGACAGGTTACCAACACTAAGTATGTTCTGTGCCTGTGCAAGCCATAATTGCATTCTTTCCAGCAGGGGGCAGCAACCCGTATCTCATCATGGGAAAGTCAATAAAACAATCCTGTTGGTTTGTTCCAGATGGCTGTTAAAATGTCCGTCACTACAAACATGCAGATTGGGGATTAGGATAATTGGAGGATTAGTTTAATGAGAGGTTTGGGTTAATTAGACAATTGAAATAAAACATGGGATTAAGTGTGAGTGTAAGTAGTTGTTGGTCTGTATGTGAACCTGTAACGGACTGTCAAACCTTCTAGGCTGTAACAGCCTAATTCACTAACACTGTAGGTGTCGCCAATCATCAGGATGGTGTGGTTCAGGCCTGTGGTGTCTGCAACTACGAGGGCTGTAAGAAAATATTGATACACTGAAATATTGCAATATTTTATTTTATGATATGTATTGAGATTCTACAGCTCTCCTTCAGTTTCTTTTTTCAAAATTGACAAATAACATGAAAATATTCACGGCGTTGATTGTTTGTCTTTTGCATTTATTTCTTCTCTAGAGATTACAAATGCAATTAAAAATTATAATTTTAATAACCTGATTTTAAGTGTGTAACATCAGTATGCGTTTAATATGCTGATAATTTTCCTACAATTAAATAATAATACAAAATTCTCTATATATATCTTTATATATTTTACCAATATATATCTTTGTGCCCATAGTATTGCAGTGTATTGCAGTATGTTGTTACCCATGTATTGTAGCACCAGATTCTTACCAAAACACACCCCTACAGCTACCACACAATGAGAAGTGCTAAGGACAGTCTGAACATTCATGACATTTAATAATTATTTCTTTGGTGCAGCATTCTAAATTTAGCCAAACATCAGGTGTAACATGTAATCTGTAAAAATCCAGGTATGATTAAATTCCAACCACACTGTAGACGGTGTGAAGGAAGGACAGCTGTCTGACCAGTGACGGTGTCCTGGTCTAATGACTTTTCACGCCGCTCCGGCAGCATAAATGATATGCCTTTGCCTCATGTCTCCATAGTCCGTCTGCGTGCACAGAGAGCACTTTGTGTTCCCTCTTCTAACTCGCAGGTCATCAGGAGGAAGGACACTTCCGCCTTGTTCCCTAACAACCCTCCCTCCCTTGTTATAGTTTCCCTACTTTGTGTAGCAGTGCCTCGCCCCGGCCTGGTAGTAAAAATAGCATTCTTCACATGAGCGTCACGGTGCGTTAAGTGTGTTAGTGTGTCTCTGCTTTTCAGTGTGCTCTTGTTAGAAGTTAGCTCGAAGGTGACACACACAGAAACTGGATTCTGTCCTTTGGTTCCCATGAGGAAAAGTTTGAGTCATCTCTTTGTGGGTTTTCATTGTTAAAACAAATGCCAGGACGCTCGATTAAATGTGCAGATATGAGATAAGTCTTTGCCAGGCTAAATTCAGTTTGACCCACTTAATCCACGTCAGGGCTTAGTGTCAGCTTCACCTTAAGCTTCCCTGATCCCCTGTACGTAGATGAGGGTGTTATCATCATATTTAACTGGTGGAAGATTAAATCAGGAAGTGGGACGTTCACCTGCTCAGGCTAACGGGTGCTCCGCTCCTGCTTTAGCCCAGTGCTGTTTCACATGGATCAGTGAATATTGCTGGTGCGGGTTGTTTTAAAATAGCGTTTCATCTGGTGCAGAATGCTGCTCTTCAGTAAAAGTAGCTAAATGAGTGTGTGTGGATTACACCGGGCATCGGATCCGTTTCATCAGCTTTTGTTGCAGTTTCGCCGCTGCCGTTGAAGCTTGTGAGTTGTTTTTAGAGCAGCGTGTTTTTGTTTCACATTGACCTACCCACGCTCAAGCTGAGGCGACACAAGCCCTTATTGTTTAGACAACAAGCCCTCTCTCACTTTTGTCTGTTTGACCAATTAAACACTGCAGTGAGTGGAGAACACTTCCACCTATTGTCTGTCTGGCCTGCTTAATTCTCATACAACACACTCACACACACACACAACCACATTTACGTATGTACACAGGGCAGTTCTAACCACCAGCAGGTGGATTCTTGGAGCCTGGAGAATTGTGATGACACTGTGAATTCATAAAGGTGAAAAAAGAATCACAAAAACACCCGACTTTCAGCTGTTTTCAGCACCGCACTCCACATTGTGCTGATTCGAGCGTTCTGTAGAACAGCAGTGTTGGAAAAGTAGAACTCACTGGCTGTTTTTTTTACACTTGCTGTCACTTTAGGACAGGGCAGACAGGAGCAGCGCTCTGCTCTGTAATGACACAGAGGCCTGTGGTATTATTTCAGAAGATGCTTTGTGTTTTGGGGATTCACCACCACTGAGTTTATACAATGGACTGACGGCCTTTTGACAGACTCGCACACCTTGAAGACTCCGTTGTTCGACCTTTAATCGTGACTTATCCTCCGTTTTCAACTAAATAAGATTGCAGTGTACACAATACCCATTAAAGCTAACTTAGTTTTCAACTAAATAAGATTGAAGTGTACACAATACCCATTAAAGCTAACCTGGGTCTTGTGATTGAAACTAGATTTTTTTTTTATGCTGTGAATCAAAGGATCAGCAGCCATGTTTTTATTATCTCCAAACCAGTGGAGCTCGTTCCGTCTTCCTCTGGGCTTCACACTCACAACCAGCTTAGTACATTTATTCATAACTAAACGATTTAAGGAGTGTACTTGAACAGACGTTAATTGTTTACAATGGGAGTAACTTGCTAAACATGGCAACTGTTGTTCTGACTGTTATTCGAATGTAATTATAATAAATGTTCTTTGCTGCTTCATCAGATTTCCAAGAACAACAGTGAGTAAGCAGAGAGTAAGTCAGGGGTGTCCAATAAGTAGAACGCGGTCTACCAGTTAATCCAAAACAGGATTGCAAGGAGATCATGAGCAATTAAAATAAGGGATGCATGATAACTTTTTTTTCTGATACCAATAACCAATAACTTTCTCCTTCCAAAGGCCGTTACAATATCCAATAACATACCTGGAGATTTGAACGACTAGTGAGCAAAAGTATTTTGAAGATGTATCATGACATCAATACCATAAACAAACCCAAGAACAACCACACCGTGGTGCTGACGAAAATATATATTATCGGGGCTTTTTGTCACGATATTGGAATGACATCCTGATATTGTGCTTCTAATTATCGGCCTCATAATTATTGTACACCCGACCCCTGGCCCTGTGCCCCTGTTGAACACCACTCGTCTTCCTCTCAGTGAGTCTTGAAGAATTCAGGAGTTTACTCACCCCCAGTCTATAAGTCTTTCTTTTCAATTCACTATAGGTTATTTTGGAGTTTTTTCTTAATAAGTCAACGTGTGCTCAATAGTGTGTCAAAAACTCCACTTCAGTGACCCCACAAGTTCATCTGCAACAAAGCTCCAGTCCTGGGGGCAGTGCTGCCCTCAGTGTTAAACACTAATGTTGTAGAAGATTCCCTGTGCTTTTGTTTCAGCCAATAAAAATCTCACGTGTGTGTCTACACACTGTCTGTCTAAGAACAGAAACTGGCAGACAATCGACACGGGTTTATTTTTGCTTCTCTGAATTCTCCAGTTTCTGAATGTAACCAGACGGAGAAAAAAACCCATAAAATGATGTGATCCATCCATAGGAACAAAGAGTGAGATCATCCAGTCCTCACTAAGGTACTGTATTAGGACCGGTCCATTTGTCTTGAAGCTCTTTACACATGTGTGATAAACATTTGTGTTATAACCTGCAGCTGCAAAGCAGCCATCAGTACTTGTTGAAGACCGGCTTGTGAAGTGGCAGTAATACTGTACTTTGATTGGGTATTGTCATATAAAGGGACACACAATACGTCTCCTGACTTGACAGGTACAGTAGAGGCTCTGGTAATATTGCACTGCTGAGCTCCATATAACACTGTTTGACACAGATATGAGCATAGTCATACACTATGAAGAGTTTATACCTGACATGTGTTTATAAGAGGTGACAGAACTGATTACCAATCAGCTAAGTCAGTGGAGCTCAAGTTAGTTACAATAAGTAAATACCATTAAGTTTCTTATGACCCCGATGATAACCTCTCATCTGTT